CAAAACATTGTCAGTGAAAGCCAAGTCTATAATTTCCCTTGCATTTATTGGGCTGTCTATGGGCACACTGAGCAATGAGTGATACTCACCAAGAATAACAAGTAGTGAAGTATAAACCAGGGGTCCTGGCTGAGGCCATTGGTCTCCACTTAATGCAAATCATTGTGCCAAATACCTTAAGAAACAACTGTCATGCTTACGACATTGAAGTTTTAGCTTGAAATTTAAGTTCAGCTTTAAGCAGTGATGTGTTGGGTAACAACTCTTCACCATTATGTTCTTATATCCTTTGAATTAAAGTAGTATTAACTCTCAATTTTATTTTCAATAATGAATGCAGATCAAACAAATATACATTGCCCAGCAAAGTATTTCTTTACATTTTTGCGCAAGCAGTTACTGTCATCATGTTTCCGAACAGCTCCAACTCTGCTCGGCTTCCCTGTTGACTTCCTGTCCAGTAACTATTCATCTTATAGGTTTATTTGAAACAAATTTTGGCATAAGGGCCTTCTTACATCTCTGGGTCCCAAGCCACCATCCAGAATGCCACTAATATAATTTTCCCTTGACTATAAGCATTGCCTAAGAAATCCAATTATGATATGAACTCTTCCATCTTTCAGGTCAAGAACGGTTTGGAAACATGACCCGAGTCTACTATCGAGAAGCAGTAGGAGCCTTCATTGTCTTTGATGTAACAAGGCCAGCGACGTTTGAGGCTGTGACCAAATGGAAAGAGGATTTAGACTCAAAATTGACTCTGTCTAATGGTTTTCCAGTATCCACAGTACTTCTAGCCAACAAGTGTGATCAGGGAAAAGACGGCTTCAGAAACAACCTCACCAAAATGGACCAGTTCTGCAAGGAGCACGGCTTTGTCGGCTGGTTCGAAACATCAGCAAAGGTATAGTAGAGAAATAGATCCTGCTCCTTGGATATCTATTGTTATAATCTAAGGGGACTTCATATCAAGGATCAACCACATTGCTGGATAAGTGATACATGAAGATTATACAGGTACCAAATCAACTTTAAAAGTCTCTAGGTCAATTTGCCCCTTGGGTAATATATTTTATAGTCTGGTTAGTATGCGCTTAAACTTTAAGAATGACTTACTAGGCTATGTGAACATAGACACTTTTTGATCAAATTACATCGTCGGGCACTGTGGTTGAATATCAGAGTATAAGAGAAGACGCAGAAGGCAGCACGGTTCATATCTCCAGGTATACAGGGTAAAGCTTTGATGAACATTAAAGGAAAAAATAGAACAGGCATCAGATGTCTTCCTTTTGCATTCATCAAAGTGTCCAGGACAGGGAGGGCACCTCACACTTTATTCAGTACAAGACTACCTCAACTCCTGCAGTGCCCTGAAATCTAAGCAGAATTTACTGAAGCAAAACATGGGTGAATGTGGAAACACCTGTGTGAATAAGCATTCACTCAGCTCTAATTCCTCTATCTGTTATATTGTGCATTGAAGTCGTTCTCTGTTCTTCTGGATGTCATGCTCGACTGCAAAGCATGCAGTATCCCGAGATACCAGGTCAGGACATTTTTCCAAGCTTATTTAAAGCATAACTCCAGTCTGCAGCAAGCTGTATTTATATACCTCCTGGCTGCTGTGCAGCTTTCAGCTCTTATTTGAAAATGTATTGAAGGTTTTCTGCCTTTAAAAATGGGTCCCCGGAGAAGGAAAGAAGGAAAGAGGGAAAGAAGGAAAGAGGGAAAGAAGGAAAGAGGGAAAGAAGGAAAGAGGGAAAGAAGGAAAGAGGGAAAGAGGGAAAGAAGGAAAGAGGGAAAGAAGGAAAGAGGGAAAGAGGGAAAGAGGGAAAGAAGGAAAGAGGGAAAGAAGGAAAGAGGGAAAGAGGGAAAGAGCGAAAGAGGGAAAGAGGGAAAGAAGGAAAAGAACTATTCTCAGGATAGCTGATACATGGGAGTTGTGGGAACTCTTTGGAGTTTGGTGGAGACGCTGGAGCCGCTTAGCTGCTGGTTGGATGATAAAAGAAGGGTCATCAGCATTGCTACTTATGTCAACCAGCAGCCCAAAAGGCGAGTCAGTGCCAGAGAGGTGGAGAGAGGCCAGAGGTGATAGAGGAGCTGCTGGCCACACAGTTGGCCATGGTTGGTGCCACTATTAGCCCCACCATTTTGGTGAAACTATTGGTTCCTCTAAGGCCCTGTTCACACCTTTCCGTTTTGTATCGCGTTCAACGCTCTACGAACGCTCTACAAAATGTACAAACTTGAAAATCCCATTGTTTTCTATGGGTATGGTTCACACCTTTCCGTATTTCAGCCCGTCTGAACTCGCTACAAAACGGCCTACGCCCAAAGAAGTACATGTACTTCTTTGGGGCGTTTTGGTCTCGCGTTTCCATTGGGATACAGCCAAGTAGCCCTCGGAAACGCGTGCTTGTCGTGCGTGTTTTTACAGCATATTGCTGTAAAAACGTGCGACGCGAAACGCGCAACAAACGCGCATATTCAATACGCCTAGGTGTGAACCCAGCCTTCGTAATGCGGGGCCTCATTGATCGTGGTACAAGCAGGTGGGGGAAGGTCAGAGCTTTGATTTCGTAGCTGAAATCACTATCAGTATAACTGTGCTCGAGGCTCCTGAGACTCTATGAAATGTATCTGAAGACACATTCGGGGTGGGTGTCTCCATTTCACCTCTGCTACGTCTGACAGTATGGCATATGTATTCAATTTGGATAATAATAAGGCATAATGAGGTGCTCAGTATGTATTTGTAAACTATAATACTATATAATGCAAGGCTCCCTATGCGTAATGCAAAGTTTAGAGCCGCAGTCACGTTTTTCTGGATTGGCTTTCTGATTCAGTTTTGTTAAATCTGATGTTGGAATTGGATGAAATTGGCGAGTATTCTGCATGTGGTGGAATTATGCGTGGTTTCCGCTGTGTTCAAAGCCTCTGTTCTTGTAACATATTACTGAAATAAACATTTCTCCCTGGAATGAATTGTATTAGCGAGGTTCTATTGTTTTCAATAAATCTATTCCCAGAAACAATTGAGGTTCCTGCCGATTGTAGTGGGCTTGGGAATGAGTCTACTGGGGCTTTAAACAGTGGAATTATTATTTTAACCCCATGATTTTCATCCTAGATATCTTTAGGAAAAGATTCAGGTTGAAAAACGCATTTGTTTTTAAATTATACATCATCATTGTGTTTATAAACTTTTGTTAAGAAAAATCCTCTTCACGCTGCTGTTCAGCAAACGTCAATGCACGCTTTCCTTAAAGGGAACATACAATCTTTCCAGGGCTCTTTTTTAGATATACATGTAAAAGATCCAATAAATAGTCGTATCAATATGTACGGAGAGGATACCCTTTTTTCTGTCTATAGCTCGTGATTATAAATAAATATGGGGGCAGCCATATTTGTTTCTTACCTACACAGGCACTTCTTCCTAATATGCAGTGCTACACAATGGTTGTGCGTTACTGTTCCTTCTCTCAATGCAATTCTGTGAGTGGGCTGATTCATTTAAAACAATGCACTCCTTGTGAAGTCAATCTTTTATCGATAGTGGTTAAACAGCTCAGCTTCTCCTGCTCCTCCCTCCCAGCTGTGGCTTAGTAGCTTAGCTCCTACTGTTCCCCCTCCCAGCAGGCACTCAGTCGCTCAGCCAGCGGTGTATTTAGGTTTCGTGCTGCCCTAGGCTAGACGAAATTCGGCACCCCCCCATCTAAATTTGTCCCACCCCTGCCTGTTCAAGACATTTTGCGTAACCTGTCAAGTTGCTGGATGCAGCTTCTGACAGGTTGCGCTATTAGGCCTCATTCACACAGCTTAGAGCCGCCCCGTACAGATCCATGCTCGGTCGTAACGGGCCGTTCCCGGGAAGGACAGATGTTGCGTATGATTGTACGCAGCAGCCTTTTCTTCTCTATGGGAGGATGTGGCCGTACTCTGTCCTACGCTCACCCACCCTGCACGTCCGTGCGGGTGGTCGTACTCGTACACAGACAGGATGGATCCTGTCTGTGTCCGAGCACGGACACCCGCATGGATCTGCAGTTCGGGTGTGCATACGGCCGCGTACTCCCATAGAGAAGAATAGGCTGCTGCGTACAATCACACGCAACATCCCGGGAACGGCCCGTTACGACCGTGCATGCCGCATGGATCTGTATGGGCCGACACTTAGCTGTGTGAATAAGGCCTTAGCGTTACAGGGAAGCAAGGGTCTCAGGCAGAGACTGCCAAAAACCCCGCACACCCCACCGTAGACCTTGCACAGCAGTCCTGAGTCGCTGAAAACCCCACCAGAGACCCCTCCAGAGCCCACCATAGACCTTGCACAGTCCACCATAGACCCTGCACAGAGACTCTCAAGTGGGCTGTGCAGGATCTATTATGGGCTGTACAAGGTCTATTTCCCTGCACACATGCTGCTCCTCTTACCTGCAGCTCCCCCTGCCACGCCTCCTCTGTCACCCGGCAGCTCGTGGCCAGTCCCTACTAGAAGCCACCTGAGTAGGCAGCACAGGCTGCCCGAATTTGTCCACCCGTCACCGGCTTTCCTCTTTGCAGGGGGCGAAAAATGCCGCTCCCCCTGCAAAGTGCCGCTCCAGGCAAACGCCTTGTTTGCCTTGCGGCAAATACGCCCCTGGGCTCAGCTCCCTCTGCACACCCTCCCAGCTGTGATTAGGAAGCCTTCCGGATTTTTAATCTCTACTTAAGGGCCGGTGCACACCTAGGCGATTTATCGAGTGGTTTGAGTCGCGCGATATCGCGCAAAACACAGATTCGCATTGAAGTCAATGGAGGCTGCTCACACCTTTTGCAGTTTGTCTCGCGACCGAAATCGCCTGTCGCGCGAAAAGGTGCAGGAGCTATTTTCAGGCGGTTGTCGCGCGTCCCTTGGACATCTCTATGCATTGAAAAGCGCGACGAAAACAGCTCAGCATCTGAATCGCCTAGGTGTGAACCTAGCCTAAAACGCAGAGCAGGAGATCTGGGAAGAAGAGCAGGGAGCTGAGCTGTTGAGTCACTGCTGGGAGGGGAAACAGGGGTTCCTGAGCTGCTGAGTTAAAGATTTTTTTAATACATTAAATTTTTTTTAAAAAGTGTACTTTAATTACCTGTGAATGGTGTGTATCCCGCCCCTCTAGGCTGCTGTTTCATGGCAAACTCCTTCCTTCATGCCACCGAATACACCCCAGAATGACTATCTTCTGGGGCTCAACAACAGTAGCTATCATTGTAATAAAGCTGCACCATTAATGTTCCCCTTCTTGCCCCCTTCTTCATTCATAGAGCTTGTGCTATGAATTATTACAATACAACCTGCGCTGTCAATGGAGAAGGAGCAGATGAATGACAGGATCTGCCCTGCCTATTCACAGACACCCAGGAGAGACAGATGAGCCCAGGACACATGGTGGAGGGAAGGGACAGGCAAGGGAGCACCTTCAGTCGCATATAGTAGTACTCATATCTACCATATAGCGGCAACTGAGAGAACAAATGTATACAAAGTCTCAGCTGCTATAGTGGCTAGGAGTCTGTTTACATGCTGGCGCATTCAAGGCTGATTAAACACCTCTCTCTGGGCGGCTCAATAACACCTGCTAGCTCCAACCATGCAAATGCAATCAACACCTTACCTCCATGAGGTCTCTGACCCCATGCTGGTTATGATAGACAGATCATGTTGATTGGAGCAATGTTCACCATATTTATTTCCGGATAATTTTTCTACAAGTCATTCTGAATTAAAAAAGCTAGTCGGATGACCAGTAAAATATTTTCTAGAACATTACAGCCCAGTCCAGTTGCTTTGATTTATGACTTACAGATTTACCATGACCTGGATGAATGAGAACCATCACAGATTATAAAATCAACTTTGGTCAAGCTGCATTGTATTTGCAGGGCCACCCACTGCTAGTGAGGCAGCCCATCATAGTGAATGGCCAATGGGGATGTGAGGGCTTGGCATCACCACGAAGGATAAAGGTCATAAGCCTGTTAAGGGCGAAGACCGACTTAGGGCTCTAGCAAGTAAACAGGATGATGATGGGGGAGTGCAGGGAGAGTAAGCATCATCGGGGGTTGGCTATCACATTAGTACATTCAAAATTTTGATATTGTGGTATAAATATACATTGCATAGAATCGTTTTGAACCACATTGTGAACTTCCTGTACATGGATTTAGTGGCATGTCCAATTCTAACACCAGTCATTTGGGATAGGAAAGTAACATGTATCCAGTCCTGATTGGTCTGATATGATATATATATAAATTAGCGTAACAGATCTAGCAGTGTTCCCATCCAATCATTAATCAACTCAGATTTTTCTGGCCTCCATCAAAAAGCAAGTCTTGGTACTGACTGATGTAGAAAACAAGCGACGTCTTCACCGCTGTACATTTAGCTCTCCTTGCCCAAAGCAGGGTTAAATGTGGAAAACAACTATCCGCCCGGCGCCCGGAACTGCAATCCCCTAGGGTGTGCGTACCACACAAGGGCTTCTGCGCATGACCAAGTTAGCTATTGCTGAC